GAGGTGGAAGGATTGCCAGAGCCCAGGAGGTTGACGCCGGGGTGGCCATGAGTGTGCCATCACACTCCAGCCCGGGTGACGGAGTGAGACTCCGACTCAAAAAATAAAAAAATAATGATGATATATCCGCCAGGCACAGCGGCTCACGCCTGTAATCCCAGCATTTTGGGAGGCAGAGTTGAGAGGACTGCCCGAATCCAGGGGTTTGAGACCAGCCTGGGAAACTTGGTGAGACCTTGTGTCTACAATAATAGTGCATGCCTGTAATTCCGGCTACTCAGAAGGCTGAGGCGGAAGGATCGCCAGAGCCCAGCAGGCGAGGCTGCGGTGGCCGGGAGCGGCCACTGCACTCCAGTCTGGGCGACAGAGTGAGACTCCAACTCAAAAGAAAAAAAAAAATTATCCAGGCACAGTGGCATGCGCCTGTGGTTCCAGCTACTTGGAAGGCTGAGATGGAAGGATCACCTGAGCCCAGCAGGTGGAGACTGTGGTGGCCATAAGCATGTCACTAAACTCCAGCCTGGGAGACAGAGTGAGACGCCTACTCAGAAAAACAAAACAAAAATAAATAAATAAAAATTATATATTCATATAACTAATGCAGCTGTAAAAAAAAAACCAAGTGAACTCTTTGCACGTTTATATGGATATAAGATACATTAAAAGTAAATAAAAATAAGATAAATTTAAAAGCAAATTATAGAACAATATTTATAACATATCCTTGTCAAAAAAGAAATAGGAGGGGGATAAGAATGCCTATTTAGTTATCTATCAGGAAAAATGGGAACTGGGCAGATGGAGAATGAGAATGGAAAGAAGACTTCAATGTATTTATTTTTCATATTTTCTGGTTTTGAACCATGTGCATGCATTATTTATTTTAAAAAGCTAGGTTAATTAAACATGATTTGGGTTCTGAAGATGATTTTGTATGAGAATCTCTAAAAAATTTTGAGCAATGGCAGAATCACTGCTTGGTCTCCCAAGGCTAAAGTAACATTTTTTTTGTTCATCATTTGCACCCTGGAACCTGCCCAATCAATAATCATATAGATTCACAGTGAAAAGTGTAAAAGAAATAAAAAATTAAAAAAAAATTACAATCACTGATAATTTATTTTCACATTTTCCTAGACTTTTTCCCACCTAATAAAATGGGATAATATGGGTTACACTGTCTTTGATCTTTTTTAAACTTAACATTTATAACGGATATGTGTTCACTGTGTGCACAGCCCTGGCAATCAACGCTTCATCATCTTTCTGCTGATCTTATTAAAATGAGGACAAATAAGAGATTCTGTAAGAGATCCTTTAACTAAGACTCATCTCCCTCCCTCACAAAAAAAAGTAAATAAAATATAAGTAAAAATTAGGGTATTAAAACTCTTTTATATTAAGACAAGAAAAACAATACTAGTAAGCATTCAAGTTTGATGAGGGACATATAAAGAGGTTCACAACTTGGTAATATATTTAAACAAGTGGACTTACTCTAATTCTTTGACAATGTTTTCTTTGTGATACATTTGAACAATTGTATTCAAATATACAATACCCTGCCTATAACAGGACTCACTAAAGAATAGTTTTTAGTATAAAGTCTGTTTATCTTAAATCCTTTCTAAAAAGATTATTAGAAGTACTAAGTAACTTCATGCTAGAATGATTGGTCTGTGGACCAATCAATGGCCTTATCAATCTAATGAATGGCACTATAGTTACTATTTAGTATTATTAGATCAACAATTAATCTATAAATCTATACCATCTATAAACCTAGTACCATCTCCTACCATAGATTACTATGCTTAGAAAATGCCTCATTCTGCCTCTAATAAAAAATCAAACAGGTCTTAGAAATATGAGATCAAGTATACTAAATTTCTTTTATATTTGTTTCTTTTTAAAAATCAAGTTTGTTCTCTTTCATGGGCACAAATAGTTATTTGCTTTTGTGGATAAAAACAGTATAGTTTTAGAAACAGATTTTAAATTTCAGGTGGTATTTCTACCAGATTGGGCAAGAACAAAAAGTGATTTAGGGTATTAAAATGTATCAAAAGACAACCTATAAAGATATGTTAAGTATCACTGTGGTTATAAATACTCATGGCTCTAGTTAACGTTTTAACTAAAATGAGGTGATGACCAATTTTCCAACAAAGATTTTTTTAAAAAAGAAACTTCCATAAGACAGCAAGTCAATTCTATAGATTTTTAAAGTTCTAAGAAACAGAAAAAAGACTCAGGCAAAATAGCTATTTAAAAGAAGAAACATAAACTAGTAATACAAAACACATACTAATAATACAAACACAATTTTTTAGAAGACATTTAGCCAGGTGCAGTGGCATGCACCTGGATTCCAGCTACTCAGGAAGCTGATGCAGGAGGATTGTTTGAGCTCAGGAGTTCGAGTCCAGCCTGGGTAAATAAGCAGAACCCCATCTCTAAAACTAACTAAAAAAAGACATAAAAATGGCAAGCAGGTACATGGGAAAAAAAAAGCTCAACATCACTAATTATCAAGGAAATGCAAATCAAAACCACAACGAGATACCATCTTCTCTGAGGTAGAATGGCTCTTATCACAAAAACACACACAGATGCTGATGAGGATGCTAAGAATTCTTATAGGTGGGGATGTAAGTTAGCATAGATATTGTGGAAAACAGTTCAGAGATTTCTAAAAATCAAAATCAAAATAGAATTACCATATGATCCAGTAATCCCACTAATGGGTATTTTATCCAAAGGAAAGGAAATCAGTATATCAAAGTGATACCCGCACCTCATTTTTACTGAAGCACTACTCATAACAGAACAAAGACAGAATCAACCTAAGTGTCCATCAATGGGTAAATGGATAAAGAAAATGTGATACATATATACCCTGGAATACTATGTGGCCATAAAAAAGAATGAGATCCTGTCATTTACAGCAACATGGATGGAATCAGAGGTCATGTTAAGTAAAATAAACCAGGCACAGAAGGACAAATATTCTGTGTTTTCAGTCATATACGGGAGCTAAAAAAGTTGCTTTCATGGATGTAGAGAGTAGAATAAGAGTTACCAAAAGTGGGGAGAAGGTAATGATAGAGGTTGGTTAATGTGTACAGTTAGACTGAAGGAATAAGGCCTAATATTCCGTAACAGAGTAGGGTGAATATATTTAACAGTGTATTTTATATTTCAAAATAGCTGGAAGAGATGACTTCAAATGTTCCCAAAACACAGAAATGACAAATACACAAAGTGACAGATAACCTAAATATCGACTTGATCATTACATATCCTATGCATGCAATGAAACATTACATGTACCCCATAAATATGTACAAAATATTATGAATCAACTAAAAAATGAAAAATACAAACACTTTAAAAAAAAATCTTGACAATTACAAAAACACCCGTAATATAAGTAAACAGGTTATAAGTAAAAACGGATAGATAAATATTCCTAATGAACTAAAAGTCATTGCCTACCACTGGCTTTGTTTGCACAAACTAAAATGTAAGGAAAAAACCATAACTGTTAGCTCTACATTTAAGAATTATCAAAATCTCTATGACTTTCAATTAACAGCAAGAATTTTCTCCTCTCTCTCTTGCAAAATGTGCCTTTTAGAAATAACTTATGAATTCTTCTATACATAGAAGTTATATCCTAATTCAAAACAATATATTAATATCTTGCAAACTCTGTCACTTAAAATATTAGATGAGTCAGACTTCCTAAGGCACTTACTTCATAACTTTACGATAATGCAGCATCACCATAATATAATGTACAAGAACCATATAAAACGCCCGCAAAGAGAAACAACGTTGACGCTAATTCTTGGTCAAGATACATTTCCTTAGTTCCCGCACAATGTCTTGGAAAAGCACCCTGAAACGTTAGTGAGTTTTTTTAAAAACCTGTAAACCTATTAATAAATGAAGCCTTGAGTCTTTAAAAATCCCCACTCAGCATTTAACTTTATTTCTACGCTGTTTTTAAATTTTGAATCCTGGGAAATTTCTAAGTCGTGTACAAATCCACAGATACAATTCCTTTACCTCCTCCCATCCCCAAACAACAACAAACTAACTCTCCTCCCCAGCTTTTATTTTTAAAGAACTGAACAAGCGGTTCAACTACTTTTTTTTCAGTTATCCTTGCTCTCAACTCTCCACGACACCCTTATCTCCGACCATTACTGACCCTGGACAAGTCTAAGCCCAGTTTACAGGACACTCACAAGTAGCGTCTCGCGGTCAAGCCTGGGCGCACTAAGGCCCCCCCCCCCCCCCCCCAGTTTTCAGACTCTTCTTCCAGCGTTTCGCACCCGCTCAGTTTAAGTGTGAAGAACAGGGGCCGAAATGCTGGGCCCGAAAGGGCAAAGCTAGGGCCTACACCGTAACACGGCCACCGAGGCGGCTCGCGCGCTGGGGAGGAGGTAGATGGCACCGAGAACCGGACGCCTGGGGCCAGGAACGCCTGTGTAAACCGAGGAGGCGCTCAGACTTGGAGCGCAAGGCCCGGGACCCCCTTAGCTGCCTCCTTTACCCTCCCCTCCCCCATGTTGGAGAAGCAGGGCCCAGGCCCGGTGCGAGAAGGGGGAGGAGGTAAACCCGTCCTGTCACTGCACCAGAAGAGACTAGAAGCGGAGCATACTCTACGCGGAGAGGCTGTGACCGCCCCGGCCCCGGCTCCTAAAGTGAGGCACATCTCCAGCCCCAGAGTTCCGTTCCCTGCGCCTCACCAGGTCGTAGTCCTCCTCATCATCGCACATGAAATCATCCTCCATGTCAGACATCTTGACCGGGAGGGGGAGGAGAAATTGGAGACAACCTCCTCCCACAATCCTCTGCGGCTCAGAGGCGTCACTCCCAGCTTCTCGCCTTCCCGTCTCTCTTAGAGGAGATGAGTTTCCTTCCGGAACCAACTCTCTTGGCATCTGAAGGATTCACTACGACGTCCAAAGAGAGTGCACCGCTCTCCATTTCCTGCGAAACGGTTGGTGTCTTAGCAACTAAACCTAGCAACGGAGGAATCGTCGGGTGTTGCGGATCTCAGCTGAAAAGCATCTGAAACTGCGCTCACATGAGGAATTTCAGCCTCCTAGGTTAGGGAAAAAAATCTCCTCCCTTGCTTGGGACTCTGGAAGCATGTCATTCTGTTGAAAGTAAGGGGCAACATAGAATCAGAAGCCTTTCGCGAAGAAAAGGCTGACATGCCCGTCCTTTATGACAGGTATTATTTCTGCCATTATTATCCACGTGCATTTAGCCTGCACATTGCGGTGGGTGTTCCTGTGTTGTTTGGAGATCTTTTCAGCAACACAGCTGACATGTAATGCTTGTGTTATTTGTAGTTGACAAAACGATTCTATGGATATCCCAAATTTGGCATGTATCTATCATGAGGCGCCTAGAACTTATTAAGTTGTTCATCGAATTATAAACTAACCTTTATTGCCCTTAGGAATTAAAGTAACAGTTAACGACTGGTTTTTAAGAAAATGTGTTACTGTTGCACAAAATCAGTAGCAGAATTCGAGGTAAAGAAAAAAATAAATGGGGGTGTTGCTTTTCAAACAGGTAGCATTTTCCTTGTAAACTTCCAGTATGTTCACTTGAATCCACAAATGTTATATTATATAGTTATAGCATAGATATGATTTTGAATTTTTTTGCATCTAATTACGTAGCAGCATAGGTGAATGTAGACAATATATTACTGACAATGATTATTTTAATGGTTGTGTAATAATCCCTTTTTGAATGTACCAGTGCATCATAATTTATGCCATTATTGTCATACATGCAGAATGCTGCAAGATAACACTATTTAAAAACAATTCTGCAGTTAATATCTTTGATGTTTTATTTTTTCCTTAGGAAAAAGTCCAAGGAGAGGAAATTAAAAAAGAAAATTACTTGATTTTTGAGTATTCACTTGAATTGACATCTTTTTGGTCATAAGTCTTTATTTTATTTTTTGAGTTGAGATCTCACTCTGTTTCCCAGGCTGGAGTGCAGTGGCATTTTCACAATTTACCACAGCCTCAAACTCTTGGGCTCAGGTGATTCTTCTGAATCAGCCTCCTGAATAGCTGGGACTACAAAGTCACCACACCCAGCTAATTTTTTGATTTGTAGAAAGGAAATCTTGCTATGTTGTCCAGGCTGGTGTCAAACTCCTGGGATCAGGCAGTCCTCCCACCTCAGCCTCTGAAAGTGCTGGGATTACAGGTGTGAGCCACTGCACCAGCTTTTTGGTCATAGTTCTTTTAAGTAATATTTATAACAGTAATGCTGGCCCACCTATAAATACAATTTTTTCCCTAATAGTATTTTCCTCCCTATGTTTTATTATCAGAAATTTTAAACATACATGAAATTGAAAAAAGAAGTACAGTGGACATGTGTGTACATACTATCAGCTTTAATTGGGTGTGTGTGTTCCCTGACTCAATTGAGAGAAAGAAGCAGTATCATGACACATAACCCTTAAATAGAGCTATGTGTATTTCCTAAAAATAAGGACATTCTCCTATATAATCACATCATTATTACATATAAAAAGATTAATAACAAAATCCTGATATAGAATATCCAGTCTATGTTCAAAATTCCCCTGTTGAACATAGAATTGGAAGATCCTTTAATGATATCACTTTAAAGTCCAAAGTTTCCCAAATCCCACAGTAGAAATTCTGATTCACTAGTAGTTTTGGGTAGAGCTGAGGAAATCTGTACTTGCAACTTGACAACAAAACAAAGCTTTCCTGTACCTGAGGTGACTAAACATCCTAGTTTTCCTGGGACGTATCTGGTTTAGTACTGTTGATACAGCATAAAAATTAATAGTACCCATTACTCTCAGAAGTTTGGACAATAAGTTACATAGTTACTCTACCTGTAGTTTAGTGTGAGAACGTGCTTATACATATATTGCATGTACACAAATTGGCTGCTATTTCTCTCTAGGGCTGAGATTTTGTTGTATTATAATGAACTAAGGTTGACCTAAAGTTGACCAAAGGTTATGGGCATTGAACCAACCATACCCAGTTTGGTATGAACCAGCCCAGGGTGCCAATTGCCTTAAGAAAGGATGTGCAAGAACATTCACTTGCATAGCTGCAGGATGTGGTCAGCAAGCAGGGAAGACACTTTGCCCATGGCCACAGCCTGACCTCCATGGCCAGGCATGGGACCTGAGGGGAAGGAGACATCCCAAGTTGGCCATCCCCAGGCTCCTTCCCCAGGCTCCACCCTGCTTCCTGTGGCCTTATCCAGGGTGTGCTCATGTTGTCATTGAGAATCTGAAAATAGTTTAATGAAGGGACTACAGAGATGGAGGCAGGGTTAAGGTAGCCAACAACTACTCATACTAAGCCTTCAGAATGCTCTGTAGTGCAATTACAACTTCCATTTCTAAAATTGCCACAGCAGGAATATGCAAATAGAGGACGATTAAGCATAGGAGGGGTCCAGGATATGCCACCCAAAATTTGCTACTTTGGCTTAAGTATTATTTTGAGCTGAAGGCAATTGAGAACCAACAGATGCAGGAGAAGTTCTCTGTTCTCTCCTTATCTGTCTTAAAGCCGGGTATCCATTTCACTATGTGAAGGTGGCATAAGTGTCCCTCATCTTCTTTACCAGGATGAAGATAATGGTTCCAAGATGAGTCTGTATGAACAAACCTTACTTAACCCTTATCTTCCAGTAGTTCTTCCTTTTATTTCCTAGGCACCTCTTTATAATTTATTGCCCTTTATTTATTAAGCCTGTAAGTGCAACTGCTTTTTTGAATTTTTCACTTCTGTGAAGCCCCTAACATAAAATTAAATATATTAATAAAATCCATCTACTTCTTCTGTTTATCTGTCTTTTGTCACTTTAACTCAGAGTCCCCAACCACGAAATCTAAAAGGATAGAGGAAACATGTTCTATTTAGCAGAATTTGCTTCATATTCTAGAAATTTCTAATTCCCTCTTTTGAATTCTTTTAAACAGGAGCTTTCCTCCATCCCCCCTCTCCCACACTTTTACCTGTTTCTCAGAATCCGTACCTATATTTTCTGTGCCCTGATCTGCTGCCTCCACACCTATCCCCAACCCAAAAATGGACGAGTTTGAGATTTCAGTACTCTGTATTCTGGGTGAATTATTAGTACTATTACTGCTGCAATAAAGCTTAGATTTACTTTTATGGATTGATCTGAGAATCAGAACTTTTTTTTTTTTTTAAGTTTCCTCTACTGAACACAAGGTACTTAGATGTTGTAGATTGTTTTGACTATTCTGATTGTTTTCCTAGAAAAATAAATCCTTGAATTATGTCAGTTATCTGAGATCCCCTGCAAATGTATTCCAACAAAAAGAAAAAGGGAAAAATGGTATAAGATGAGATTGGACACATTCAGGGTGCTATGGCCATAGACTGAAAAAAGGCATAAGATAATAATTGGAATCAATTCCTTATTGAGATAGATAACATTAGGTGGTTATGACAAGATAAGGTGTGGAAAGAATTGTTAAGTTTGAACATTCTTGGTACTATATTTAGTTTCTGGGTTAGAAATAGAAAAAAATATAGTTTTAAATTGGGACAATTTATCTGCAATTGGGCCAGCCCAATGTATACTGTAAGTTTAAAACGCAACCTTCTAATTTCCAAATCAAGTTAATTTAGATTTTTGTTCATCAGAATTCATTTTAATGATAAAATATACTAGATATGGAGTTTGCACCAATTTTTATAATACATTCATTTATTTACTTAACAAATGCGGGAGCATTTTGTTTGTATTTATTATTGCATCCCAGGTGCCTAGAATAGTGCTTAGAACATAGTAACACAGATAAACATTTTTTAAATGAATGAATGATGACAGCCTAATGGAGGAGACATAGATGTGAATTCTAGTGGAGGAGACAGATGATAAATACAAAAATTAATAAATAGTTAATATCATTTCAGATAGTCAAATTTAGAGGATAAAGTGACTGGAGCAAAGGTTGGGATGGTTTTTAAAATCTTCATAATAACCCTATGAAGTAGACTTTTTTTTTGAATGGGAGTCTTACTCTGTTGCCCAGGCTGGAGTGCAGTGGCACACTCACAGCCACCGCAGCCTTGACCTGCTGGGCTCAGGCAATCCTTCTGCCTCAGTCTTCCAAGTAGCTAATTTTTTGATTTATTGTAGAGATGAGGTCTCGCCAAGTTGCTCAGGCTGGTCTTGAATCCCTGGACTCAGGCAGTCCTCTCACCTCTGCCTCCCAAAGTGCTGGGATTATAGGCGTGAGCCACTGCGCCTGGCGAAGTAGGCATTTTAATCTCCCTTTTATGGAGGAAAAATTTCAGACTTGTCCAGGGTCACAAAGTGGTTGAACCACTCTAATCCAGGTTCATTAACTTATTCCTTCATTAAACATCCTTTGAGTTCCTGCTCAACACTGAGCCAGAGTATGTAAAACCAGAGTAAAATAGGCACTGCTTTCAGGGAACTGAAAGTCTAGATATTTGCTGTCTAATACAGCAGCCACTTGTTTTTTAGTAGGAATGGAGATATGCTGTGAAATATAGTGTGAAATATACAATAGATTTTGGAGACTTACTATGAAAAAGTAAAATAGCTGAATAATTTTCCTATTTATTATATTTGAAATTTTTTTTGATATATTAATAAAATTAATTATTAAATTTATTTCATTTATTTATTTTTACTTATTTAAAAGTGGCTTCTAGAAAATTTAAAATTACATATTTGACTTGCATTGTAGATTCTGATTTAGTAGGTCTGGGCCTAAGATTCTTCATTTACAAAATGGTCCCAAGTAATGATGATGCTGTTGGTCTGAGGCCCATACTTTGAATAGCAAGATTTAGACCACCTGTTCAGCAAGCATCTGTTTTGTTTTGCTTTCATTTTGACTGAATGAAATCATCTATATTCAGTTAAAGCATTTTTGCACACTTTTTATTCCTTTCATATTGGTTTATAAAAGATTAGAATGCCATGTTTAACTATATAAATACATTTTTCTGATTCATGAGTTTATCTTGCCTTTTGCTTTAAAATGATTATACACTAGAGAGATTTATCTGTTTTATGTGCAGAAGACTAAGGAATGTAGCATTATTATAAAGAAGACATTAAAGAAGTGGCTAGGCAGAGTGGTTCATACTTGTAATCCCAGTGCTTTGGGAGGCCAAGGTGAAAGATGGCTTGAGGCCAAG